AGCCGCCGGCTCCCCGCCACAGCCCCGGCCTCGGCCGCCGGACCCTGCGGTCTCCACCTCCAGCCGGGGCACGGGATACCAACGCCGCTGAAAATAAGGCAGCTCCGCTTTAAAACAAAAAGCCCTTTCTGATACCTCACGTCACTCACCCCACCTCGTAGCAGCTGCGCGTTTTACTCCTTTACTCCGTTGACTTGTTTACGCACAAAAAAGTTAACTCTGACAGCAGATAAAACAAATGGATTCAGGTTACACACACGGGAGGTTACTAGCCTCTGCCTTGGTTACCTTTCAGGGATTTCCTGGTTAATCTCCTTTTTAAACCACAAAACTTTCTCTTCTCAAACACTGCCGCGCTGCACCTAAAACCAGCGTTTGCTGTTCTATACCACTTGTTACGCACATACACTTACTCAATTTAGTTATGTACATGATACACTTGTAAAATTGTCCCTTTTTTTGTAGAAGGCCATACTGCAACACCTTTCAGAAACGCGACAATCTCTGAAGGGTAACCTTTTATTTTGCTGCAATATTTATATAGCACAGTGCTTTCAATTCCCCTCCTTTCAGCAGGGGAGTAAATACACAGTGCAAGCTAGACAATGAAGTCACTATGATGCAGTCTGGTGAAATAATGGATTGTCCTAGAAAGACACAGACTCTGGAGAGCTTTCCATCCCTCACGTGCTCATTACCAGAAGGCACGCAGACATCATCTTCCGTTCACAGATCCCAGGAAACAAGACTGCAGTAGTCATGACAACATGATTTATTTATTTATTGCAAAGCATTTGATTTAACTAGGAAAGTCCTATCAGAAGACACCAGAAACCAGTAGAAGAGCAACAACAAGAAGATAGTCCTGAATGGTATTTAATAGTAAAAGAACCTCAGAGATCTATTTCTTTCATGGGGTATTTGTAATCACTCCTGCAACTACATGATCTTTATAGTAATTCTGGTTGGTCTATGTTGGTAGAGAGGAGTTTCCAAGGAAGACTCCTGTTACTCAGCTCCACTAATACACAGAGCCAGCTGTAAGTTCAGTACAATCTTGATGGGTCTCTTTCAGGAGCAATTTTTCCACCTCTTCTCCAAAGTAGTCTCTATTTCCAGTTGTACTCTCAATATCCCTCCTATTTTGCTACTCTTAACATCATTGTAAATTTAAGTAGTACATACTGAGCTCAGACCTTAAAAGAACTCACAGTACCCACTGTACCACTGCTTAACCAAATCAGCTCAACTGTTACTGGTTTTTTTTTTCCCCGTCACGCCAGCAAAGCAGGCATATCCAGAGCACATAATTCTCCCAAACCATCCAACAAGTCATAGAAGTGGAATATTAATACTGACATTTTTCATCATCATTCAAACTAGCAGGGCTGCAGGCAGAAGCAAACACTTTCAATTACAAAAACTTTGCAAAAATACTTAGCCACATTTAAAAATGCCCTTCTGATTACACAGTTCAAAGCCATAGTCCAAAATCTAAGACTATTCCTGATAAATTGATGGGACAAGATATCTCCTGTGTTTTACACTCCAGGATATGGTCTCTAGGCTCATGTAATCATCAGCTCAGGCTAGTGACCAGAATTCTTACTTTAACAATGCATTGTCATTACATGCTGACTTGGCATTACTTACGGGGGCGGGGGAGGGGGGGGAGGAGGAGGATCAAGATTATATCTTGAGTGTATACATAGTAATGACAATGTCTTCCACATTTATTTCCTTCTGGCTTTATAGGAGTTGCAAAAAGAAACCTGCCTTTCACTTACCTCTATATACTGTAATTGCCAACACAAAGTATATGAAATGGCAGAACAAGAAATTACAACTTAATGAGAAAACCGTAACAGAATGCTCAACAAGAAGGGATGGAGCAGCAAATTCCTAAAACCATCTACTTGGTTCATATTCCCTTTAAGAATGGCTGTCAGTATAAATGCTGTATCAGCATGTTATTCTCTTAAAGGAATAATATAAAACACATTTATGTTTCCTAGAGACATGTCATGGTATTTTAACAGTAAGTTGCTAATAAGAATCTCAGTACTCTCTGGGTTAAGCTGTCCACAATGATTATGACTGATTGTGTTTTAAAAGTTGCTGAACTGGAGACAAAGCTCAAAACATATCATCCCTTACGGCAACGTTAGCAGCTTCTATTCAAAAGAAAGCAACACCTATTTTTTTTTTGCATATATGCAATGTCTGCAACATTTCCACAGTGGGAAAAATCTGTTCCCTGTATAAATCCAGGGCATGTCATTGCAAACAAGTTTTTAATTAAAATTGGCATTTTTGAGCCTCCTACTGACTGACAGTGTCTCACTGCCTCCTCCTCATATGGCTAAACTGGCTTCCAAGAGAGAGAGCGGAAAGAAACAAAATCACTAGAATACCTAACTTTGACAAGCCTCTGCTGGGGACAATTTCAATAGCAGGATGCTGCAGAGAGAGGTAAGGAGAGAATAGATGACTACTTAGGAAGTCTTCCCTAATGAAGGCTCAAAACATCACAAACAAGACAGTAGAGGAGGCATTTTATTCCTAAGCCTACAGACAGGATGATCAAGCAGGACAATTTTAATCAGAAACCATATTGTTAAAGGGAATGCAGAACAATGACTGCACCTCAGTGGGTGCAGCTTTCTTTGAATGCAAAAGCAGGCTTAGAGGCTGGCTAGACCTCTGGCTGGGAGGTTGGCTCAGCTGTCAGCACTGACAAAGCTTTATCCCTCTCAGAAAATAGGCAGACATAGGCTCTCAAGTCAGATAGATAAATAAATAAGAATTCCTTGGCCAGAACATTTTCCCCAATTTAATGCAAAGAGTTTATATTAACTGCTAGTACTGTACCTTCGGGAGGCTCCTCCCGCAGATGAGGAGGCAATTCTTCACTTGTTGTCTCAGTTTCATCTTCCACCATCTGTGTTTCTAAGCTAGGTCCCTGCAGAACAGAACAGCAAGAGGAGGTAAATTGGAGAAAGTTCAGAAAGGAACCACAGAAATAATTACAGGATTAGATAATATGCCAGGCAGCAAGGACACAAGGAGCTCACTTTAGCTGATGAGAAAGAAAGCTGCTGGGAGATTTGTTTGCAGTTGAATTACTTACAGAAAGGGGAGAGGAAAAAAAAAAAAAAAAGGACTCTTCAAGCTAGCAAGCAAAGTTACAAGGGTCTAAGTAAACTAAAAATCAGGAACTGAACGGTGAAGCACAATTTCTAAATGACTATTTCTAAAATCCCCATTTAGCACGGGTAGCAACAGATTCGCCATCACTTGGAATTTTCAGGAAAGAATCCAATCTTTGATTTGTCTTACCAAGACTAGATTATGAAATGTCTGTGGCCTGTTCAATAAAAGAGATCAACACAGGTTATACTAATGGTCCCACACCTCGTTTTTCAAAGGAAGACAATGCAAACTGGTTTACAACCTTCTAACCCATCCAGATCCACTGACCACATAGTTTTCCCCTACTTGCACTCGCTATACATGCATTTGTGCCTGCATGTGCAATGTGCTAAACTAACCACTCCTGAAAACTACCAGGTTGCCCTCCAAAGTTTTGCATTTCCACTTTTTAGCCTTCAGGATCTTGGAAAGAGCCTGCAACATTGCTGCTGGAAGGATGTGAGCAGAGTTACTGGATTCGTAGACTTCAGGAACATTCACTTGTATTTAAGGATGCTGAACTCATTTTGCACATGTAGTATTTTCATGACTTGTGGAGCTATAAAAGTGTAGTTGCTTTTTCGTTTTCAAACTATCAAAGAAAAAAACCGCAAACACTGCTCCCCCCCCCCCTTTTTTTTTAAAGTAACAGCAGAGTAAACACTCGGCATAGGTACAGAGCTCCTTAAAAACAACTAACTAATTTTTTCTTTTGGAATGCTAGTACAGTCAAGAGTCAAATCAGAAACTTAGCAGTCATTAGGAAATGAGGCTTTTGCGCACTTTGAAAATATGAATGGGTTTCCAGTCTGAAATATCTGAAAATGTGTATTAACATATGCAGCTGGGAGGTTACAGAAGCCAGCTTAAACACTGGTACATCAACAGCTTGCAAGACTTTATTATTTGAACTCAGGAAGAAAAAGGCCTTATAGCATTAAAGCTGCAGGATTTATTTTCATACTTTCCAAACCCCGTGACTGCAAAGTTACCCCCAAGAGCATTGCATGCTTTCTGTTTCCGCATTTTGCACATTATAAAGACTAACACAAATTCTAAATTTCTTCCTCTGCACAAGTAGCTTACATTTTCATCCATTCCCCATTCTTTCAACAAAATGGACATGAAAACAAGTACCACCACATTGTTTTCAAGAGTTTCATAGCAGGGAAAAACACAGCACCCAGGGGAAGTGTACAAGTCTATTATGTTAGTGCCACCATCACAACCTTGATTTCTGCCATCCATGACTATGCAAGCTTTACCTAAGCCATGTACCTATTTCTCCTCATTTAAAAACACCTGGTAACAATAGTGCCCAGCCTTGGTCAAAAAATAGTTCAAACATTAAGTCATACCTTGTAGTAGCTATGATAGAAAGGAGAAAAAAATATTTCTACCACAGGGTACATATGAGAAAGTAGTAAGTTGCCTGACTTAGCCCAAATAAAAATCAAACCTAGGAGTCAGTTATCAACACTGAGGTCTAACCATCTCCCCACTTCACCTAAATAATGTGATCTAGATTTTAAGAATGTGTAAACAATTCTGGATAGGAGCACCAGATTGAACATAAGAGTATGTACTTGAATAAGCTTCTACATCAATCACAGGCAATATATTCATATACATTTCTTTCCTACCCATTAATGCTACAGAGAGAGAAAGGAGAAGATGATGTTACATTAGTATACCAAATCAGAGTGCTTATTTTCATATGAAAGATGTCTACATGTAGGACATGAGGCACCAATATTTGCCTTGCAAACATTCTGAACCACAACTATAAGAACTCCTAAACTAGAAGTGGTCTCGAATCTGAATCCTTTACCTGTACTTTCCAGTTTGCAACCCCAAAATTATTTTAATTAAAAAAAAGCAACAGAACCCTCTGCACAAGGCAAAGCTTAAGTCCCTACTAACAATATGCTGCCCAAGGAGACAATCCAACTTCAGGGATTAAGGAAAAGCCAGTAAGAAAAATATTATCTTTCCTTCTTCAAAATAGTCAATAGTCTCACTTTGCTACCATGAGACAAACCTGCTCAGTGGCTTCTCCCAACAACAGACCATGATAGCGATGCTCTTTTGGGTTATAGTTGTTATCTACATAAATACTAAGAGGATGCAAAATGCTATCAAAAGTGAATGGTGGCATTACAGGTTTTTTCCCGTATGCATGAACTACTACTCAGTGCTCACTAGCAATACAACTCTACAGTAGGGTGGTTATCACCGACAATACTTACCCTGAACTAAAGGTTTATCTTAGTTGAACATCAGCCTTTAGGGCTAAGCTAGTATTAACAAATCCAGCTGTGGGGAAAACAGAACCCACTACAGACCACTCTGAAGTTCATGGCTGAGATGCTGTTTGCTATCACCTACTTCCCTCCAATTCAAAACTTTAACACTTGCTACTGGAATCCCACAGAAGAAAAATACACAATCCAGGAATACTACTTTTACAGAGCATTTTTAATATCTAACAGAAATAGCCAGAGTTTTTGAAGAATTTTTTTCACTACTCAAAAACAATTAATCACAACACAGCATATTTGGAACTGTATTTGGTATGCTTTTCCTGTATTTTTTGAGAATCTTCCCCAAAACCCACTGAAAAAAAACTGGTTTGCAAATTTTTATTTCAAAATCTGATGTTAAAAATTGAAAACACAGTCTAGACTGAAGTATGGTTGTCAAGTAACCACAAACTTAACTTTTCCAAGAATTGTTTTGCGAGAAACTTTGAAATCTTCTGATTTCCTACTTCCTAAAATGAAGTTAGAAATGTTTTCTACAGAATAACGCAAGTTCTTATCTCATTGATATCTTATCACTATATATAATGACCTACAATATAGGAAGTTTCTAGGAGAAGTAGTCTCATAAACATCTGTGTATATCAGACTTCAGTGTATCAGTTTAATCATTGAGAGCAGTGAATAAGTGTGCACAGCGTTGGTACTGAATTTCACTAAGTAATTAAAGTGTAAAACAATTAACAGTAGATGAGATCCTAGGTTCTCGTATCCATACCTGGAAGTAATACTTAAGGCTCAAACACTGACAGGTGTTATCAACAAGATTACAAAGTCTCTTTACAATGGCTTTGTATGTTATATTAGCACGTCCGTTGCTTTTTTAGTTATATCTGCTGAGTTCAACTCACCAGGTCTGCTGCAAGCTTGGTAATCAATACTTCAGGTATCTGCAGTTCTGGCAGCACACTAATTTACAGCAATCAAAAATTCCAGGAAATTGTCTTCTTTAAGAAGATTTATAACTAAGTTATAGTTAAAGTTCTTGGTCTCAACATTTTTTTTTTTTTTTTACACTATTTCAAGAATGAGGCATCAGTTATGTTTTTTTCATTGTTAAGGATCCTTGACAGACAAATAGAGGAATGGGATGCACACAACTGTGTAAGTTATTGGCTTGCAGATAAGCAGCCATGCAGTGTCCAGCAATTCTATAATAATCTTCTTGAGCTGCAGCCATGGCAGAAGTAATGCACACAGACGTTGCTTTTGCTTTGATACTCCCTCTAGGAGCATCTAGGGTGCAGGAGGATGTATCAACAGTTCAGAAACATCAGTAGATTACTAACTGTACAATATTCTTTCAATTATGTAGGGTTTGTATAGCATTTTTAATTGAGAATATGGTTCCATTCCTCACTAGAGCCATTGGAGAAGGACAGATTTAAACAAGTATTATTACAGGAACAGTTAGGTTATGGCACGGAGCCTAGGAACATATAACTAAGAAAAACCTCTTTGCTCTCCAGAGATGGTCCCTGCATCATACAATTCCTTTCAGCAATTGATGAGTTTCTGACTATGAGCACTATTAAGATTTAGTGGCAATTTTTATGTCATAATTTAAAACAAGATCTAAGCTGACCAGAAACAAGTCAACTCAAGCAGAGGCAATACCCACCCTTCCAAACTGAAGTTATGGATGTGCCAATTCCAAGGTAGCTCACTCTGTGCCTCCCAAAAGTTTCAATGAACTACCAGGAAAAGGTTTGTATAAACACAGCAAAATATAAAGATCAAGAGAGAAAACCTACAGGGATTCTCACAGAAACTGCCCAAGGAACATATTATCCTGTGTTCTGATCACACAGTGTGACTACTGACATTACAGTGCAGTTTAACTCAAATATTATGGGCTGCTGTGACCCAGTAAATTTGCGTTCATTTGCTGTCTTATACTGTGTTTCATAGAAGGCTATGTATTTATGGACAGAGAGGACTGCCAGTACTGAACTAAACAAGTGTGACAAATCACCTCATGCTTTTCCATGGGATACAACACTTTTGAGAATAATTCTGACCAGAACTTCAGTGATATGCTCATATTTTCAGTATATTTAAAGACTGTGTATTTTACAAGTGGTGTGATAAATCCATGCATGACAGAAAGAAGGTTCCTATACAGTAAGGGTCAGTATTTTCCACAAGGTACTGAGTTATGTTTATGACATTGAAAGTAAGAGCTGCATTTATCACCACATTTGTATTAACAAATTATTTCAGCATGGTCAATCATAAAAACAGCCTATACTATCTCAGTCTCAGCAGAGTAGTAAGTACTCAAAAAAACCACTCAGGTCAGGAGCAATCCCAACACCAGGCAACCATTATCAGCCCATTTTGCATGTAAGCCAATAGCGATGTGAGACTGTCACTGCAAATGCCCCAACAGACAAGCCAACAGTGGAAATGGCTAAGCTTTCTAAAAAGTCCCTACAGACCATCTTGAAACAACAACAATAAAAATAATAAAAAAAACATACCCTGCAACACTACCACTACTTTTAGGCCTTTTAGACTCTACTTTTGTACTTAGCTTTACATTAATTACGGTATATAATCTTAAAGCAAAGTAGAGTCTGTCAATTACTGTCCACTGAGCCAGGATTAGGTTAATGAATAGCAAAAAATAAAACCCCAAAACAAAGGCCAACGAGGCTGATAAGGGCAGGGGGGAGGGAAGGAATCAAAGAGAAAAAAAGAATCCACCCTGTGAAAAATTATTACTGAAATTGAATGAGTTTGGGGAAAATAACTTCCAAGTTTTCTTCAGTTTATGAC